TTAATCTTTTGCACTTTTTTTTTTTTGCTTTTTAAAATGTTCTCAAAAAATCTGGCCCGATTTTCGCAACTAAATATTATTTATGTAGTCAGCAATCGAGAGCGATCGCTCCCGCTTTCCGACCAAGCCTGATATATATATATATATATATATATATATATATATATATATATATATATATATATATATATATATATATATATATATATATATATATATATATATATATATATATATATATATATATATATATATATATATATATATATATATATATATATATATATATGTATATATATATATATATGTATATATATATATATATGTATATATATATATATATATATATATATATATATATATATATATATATATATATATATATATATATGTATATATATATATATGTATATATATATATATATGTATATATATATATATATATATATATATATATATGTATATATATATATATATATATATATGTATATATATATATATATATATATGTACATATATATATGTGTATATATATATATATATATATATATATATATATATATATAAATATATATATATATATGTGTGTATATATATATATATATATATATATATATATATATATATATATATATATACATATATATATATATATATATATATATATATATATATATATATATATATATATATATATATATATATTATAATATTTTGGGTTAACTTATCTTAATACCTAAATTATAACTTATATTTAATTGTAATTTAAGAATCTTATTTTTATATTCAATAATTATCTTATGTTTTGTTTATTTTATAATTTATACACTTGTACTTTATACGTTTTTTATACGTTTGGATGGTTGAAGAATAAAATCATCAATACAAACTTTAAGAGCAAATTCTTTAAAAGGTTCTACATCTTTGGGAAAGGACTGTAATCATCGACTGTTTTGTTTCTAATGCAATTGTGAAGCCTTTGAAATCATGAGCAATAAAGATGACAGAATATGCAATATAATTCGTATTATATTGCTTTACCATTGAACCCTTTTTGATTTGGTAGAACTTTTTAAAATTATTTTCGCAAATTGTCAAACTTTCTCCATTACCCTCACTAATATGTCTTAAATGCTTACCCAACGAGTAGAGACATGTCTCAACATCCGTTGACTTTGAAGCTCAGTGAATGATTCTACAGCAAAATATTCTTTAATTCTTTTTGCAAAAAATTTTTAAAAAATGTGCAAATCATTTGTTAATTGGTCCAAATCAATATCCTCAGAAATCAACGATTTAAACCCTTCCAATAAAGAATTGGAAACTGAAATGGAGTGGACATGACCCAACATTGATAATGAATTTTTCTTTTTTTTCAAAATCATTTTCTTATTTTTTTAAGAACAATTTGATTGACATAGGAACCATCCATACTAATGGAGATAATAGACTCTGGTTGCCGCTAAATTTTCCCTAACAACTTTTTAAAATGACAAAGAAGGTCTTCCTCAGTACAACTTCCAAAAAACAATGCCCCCAAGTTCGATGTTATTATTTGATGAAAGTGATTAGAATGGTACGTGGCATAAGCGTCATATTGTTTTTTTGTCTGTAGTTGTTTCATAAAATCAAAATGTGAGTGGTAAACATCTCAAATCATTCTAAATAGGCATATTATGATGATGTTTTCATAGGTTGCTCTTTTACTAGGAGAGTCATGTAGAAATTGTCACATTGCTTTTAATAGATTATTTATCTCTCAGCCACTTGTTTTAGCCCCTGCTTTAAAACTGCTATGAATGATATGGAGACCACAGGTTCCAATATCTATAAGAGGATCAAGTTCTTCCTCTTTTCACTGTTCCTCGAAAATTATCTAGAAAAAGCAAATTTACATTTGGCTTATCTGATGACACTTGTAGAATCTTTGATTTATCTATATCAGAAACACAGTTTCAGAATGTTTGCATAACATCATGTGGTGTTGAGCGTCCCATAAACTCTGATTTAAGATAATGAGTTTTAACCATACTCATATTGTCATCCCAAAATCTAACTAAGAGGTCCATTTGACCCTTCTGAAAAACTTGGTTGATGGAGTCATCAAATGTAATAAGGTATATTAGATAGGGAAAATAGCAACTCATTTTTAAAAAAAGGAATCTGAATGTTGCAATATAACTGGCCTTGGTGGGTCCACATTGAACCAACTTAGCAATGTCACTATCTGGAAACATTTTAATAAATAATTTTACTAAAAAATTTTACTAAATAATTTTACTAAATAATTTAACAGAATCAGTTGAAGAATTCATTAAATATTTAGAATACACAATATTAAGGACCAAACAAACTTCAGCTTCAAGTGTAGGTGTATTTACAAGCATTTTATTATTATTTTTTTAGTGTTCTGCTTTATTTGAGCATTCTGACATATACTCATTAATTTGAACAGTGTTAGGAGCCATTAACACCAATGACTTGATATTGTTAGCAGAAGGAGATCTCTCTATGTGCTTTTAACCATTCATGTGTGAAGTTAAAGCAGCTTCTCCCATGTTAGCAATATTAATATCTCCAGCACAATAACTGCACACAGTGTTCCCTTGCGACCCTCAGGGTAAATTTTGGTTTAGTCCAAATTTTTTTAGCTGGCCATTATTATTAGGTTTAAAAAAGATGTTCTAGATTGTTTTTAAAATTAAAACTAGCTGCAAAGCATAAAAATTCTTGATTTACTTGCATTAAATTTTTTTGAAAAAAGTGATGCCATTTACGCAATTTTTTTCATTAAATATTTAAAGTAAACCATTCAAAAAAATCATTTTCATGATTAGTTTTACCATTTTCAGTATATGCAACAATTAAAATCTCAATTTTCTACTTTTATGACTTGTGAAAAGAATTGTAAAAGGTACAAGTTTGTTTTGAACGAATATACATATTTATTAAAATTCAAATAAAAATCAACAATTCAATCAAAAGTTTGAATTAGTTGATAGAATAATGCTTTATTTATTGGCAAGTTAATGGCCATCTAATCACCCAACATTTAAAGGAAAGTTGTTTTTGTATTCTGTAGTGTATGTACAGTATAAAATTTAGTTTTAAAAAGTATATCATTTTCAGTATTAGTTTTATCGGTCATTAAATGTGAAATTTTTGCCAAAATGGCTGAAATTAGGTTTTTTAATTTGTTCTGGAAGATTTTTTCATTTGTAGGAAATAGTTAAATTATCCATATTAAATTCAAAACCTGACAAATAAAGAGAAAGATATTATAAGATTAGATAAAATTTTGCTTTTAATAAAATCTAATAAATGATATTTATTTTTTTGTATCAAATTATTAATAACCTTGTTTTTTCTAAAAAATTTTATATTTTAAAAAATTTTATAGTATTTATAAAAATCAGTTCTGTGAGTAATGGCAGAATATTCAAACAAAATATGAGCATGCTGCTTAGAGATATTTGGTAAAAGAACTAACAAAATTTTAAAAATCACTCTTGCGATTAAAAAGCATATTCAAAACCTTATATGGAGAGAATATGATTTGGAAAAAGAATGATGCCATAGGTTTATATGCTCATCCTGTACAACAAACTTTTATGCTTTAAACAGAGCAGAAACACAAAAAATTGGAAAGTGGATAGATAAAATACCACAGGTATAATTTGCAAATGCCACAGACATTAATTTTAAATGTAGCAAAAGTAGTGTAAAACATTTTTCTTCTAGTTTTTTTTTTATTTGTAATAAGAGATGTAAAACTAGAAGAATATACTTTCAAATAATTAAAATTTTATGGTTTACATTCTGATTGTAGTATGAAAAGTTTTCATTATATAATAAATATTATCCTTTAATTAGAGAATTTTTTTTATACTTTTATTAAGATTGATTGCCAAAAATTAAAAAGAGCAACAAATATTGAACAAAAAACAGCTGAGTTTGTTCCATGTAATGATGGAAACAAAGAAAATGATATCAAACTGCAGAATATGTATTTTCTGTGCTTTTCAGTTACTGGTTAGTATATTTGTATATCAGTTATTCAGTGTATGTATATATATATATATATATATATATATATATATATATATATATATATATATATATATATATATATATATATATATTGATTTCAAAAATGATTACTTGTTATGTATTTGAAATTTAAAAAAGGGGATTATCTCATTTTTGCTGCAAAAACCAAGTTGTTAACAATCTTATTACTCATTCAGAAGTGCTGGGATATGTATATAGTGAATAAATAGCGACAAGTGCTTAAATTTGATTTTTAAATTTAAAAAATTCTTTAAATTCTGAAACTTAATTTTATTTTAGTTTTATATACTTTCAATTTCAATTTTATTCTTTTATTCCACTTTTATTCTTCAGAACTACTCAAAAATAAAATGAAGAGAAAATATTGAACTTGATGAAAATTTTTCCCTATAAGACTCTTGGAAATACACTGAATATTGTAGTTGGAAGACCAGGATACAATTCTAAATGAATATTGCCTAAAAAGTTATCCTTTGATGTCATAATGGAATTGCCTAACACTTTGAACTTGTTTAAAAGAAAAACAAAAATTTTTGACTGAAAAATTTTGCACTAACTTGCGTGAAAACCTTGGTAAAAATATGGTTGATAACAATATTAGGCTTCAAATGGAAGGATTACACTATTCTTTGTCAGAATTTTATGATGTCAAAAAAGAAACATTTATATCAGGAGATGAAAAGTTAACAGCCTAGTGTTTGTTACAAATACATCAGAACTTATTCTTTATATAATGAAAGAGGCTTAAATCCTTACTCCAGTATAGCAGTTGTTAAATTATAATTATTATGCATCCAGGAGCCAAGCCTTAAATTCTTAAAAAACTGTACAAAACTAAATAACTAAACAAAAGAAAAAATAATATTAAAAAAATAACTAAATAAAAAAAAAAAACCCAAACAAAAGAAAAAATAATATTAAAAAAATACCTTTTAAAAAATCATAGTTCTGATAACAGTTTTTGCAAGTTAGAGATCGTTGCATCTTGAAAAAGTGCTAAAAGAAAATGTGTATATATAAATTTATATATATTTAAATGTGTATATAAAAAAATGAATATATAAAAAATAAAACATATATACATATATATAAATTAATGTATACTGTAATAGTTAAAACTATGTTTTAAAACAGAACTTTTTAAAGAAAACTCTAGAGACACTTTAATATTTTCACATTTATTTAAATGTTTCAAACTTGTTTGTAAATACATTTGAAGAAATTTGAGCATTGCTCATATCTATACTGAATAAGGAATAGGGTACTGCTTTGCTTGCATCATGCAAATATTGAATGAATTAAAATTAAGGATTCTGGGATCGAAATGGGGACAAATAACTCAAAAATGTATAACAACAATACAAGTTATTCCGTTTTTACTACAAACTCTCAATAAATTTTTGAATTGTTGTTTAGTTTTTGTGAATTTTTAAGAGCTGATTACAATGAAAGTTTTCATTTTGATCAGTGAGTTTAATTTTGACATTTTAAAGCCTGATTACTCCAAGTTTTTATTTTTATCATCAGATAGTTTTCTTTGGCAATAAGTGAAACTTAATAAAAGAATGAACTTAATGAATCTTAATATGCTCAGAGTGGGCATGTTTTCCAAAAGTTACCAAACTACTCCTCTTTTGTATTAAGCACCTGAGAGAAAATGTTTGAACAAAAAGAATTTGACTAGGTCAGAAAAATATTAACTAGCTCTTTAAACATCGACTGCTAAAATGATACTTTCAAAATAAAAATATCAAAAGTATATTTAGTTAATATGTATATAAATTTCTTTTTAAAAGTTGTGAACAAATAAAATTAGTACATATTTACAAAAATGTTTATGAATAAGTTTTAATCCATAATTTTCAAGAAAGCTTAAATTTCAACTCTGAAAAAATTGTTTCAAATGGCTTTTCATCTTTTTAAATTTACTTTTTTTTGAATTAGTAATTGTAAAAGGATTACACAACAGAATCTTTATATACACATAGAAAAAAAAGTAAAAAAAATTGCAATGAGCAAAAAAAAAAAAATAAATACACAGCTAAGATTGTAAAAAAGAAATTTAAATTTTACAAAGATATTCAAGCACACAGCATTGTTGAAATCTAAACAATTATGAAGTAACATAAACTAATTAAGATGTTAGTGCCAATAAATAAAGCATTATTCTATCAACTAATTCAAACTTTTGATTGAATTGTTGATTTTTATTTGAATTTTAATAAATATGTACATTCGTTCAAAACAAACTTGTGCCTTTTACAATTTTTTTCACAAGTCATAAAAGTAGAAAATTGAGATTTATTAATTGTTGCATTTTGAGTTTATATCAGAACGAATAAAGAGTTTACAAATTTCTTTGTTATAATGACGATATAGATTATTTGCATCTATGTTAATATTATTTTCATTCCTTCCGACAAGAAAATCTACAAGATGTGTTTAAATATGTAATTTCGAAAGCTTTCTTTTTTTTTTTTAATTTTTTTTAATTTTTTTTTGGGTTTGTCATTGAATCTTGAGTTCTTCCTATATTTTTTTTTTAATTAAATGAGTTGGCAAACGTTCAAGGAGTGAGAATAAATCCTAATATTATTGGTTTTATTGCAGTTTATACACATTTTTTTTTTGGTATAAAGTTTCTTTCCATTTTGTTTTGGTTGTTTGCATTTCATTCCCAGAAAGCTCTATGAAAGGTTTAATAAATATATATTTAGAACCGCAACAGTACCCTATTAAGAAAACCAAGGAATTAATAATACACATTCCAGAATAAATATTAAAGGGTAATAGGAATCTTTTAAATATAACTTTTAAAGATAGCTCATACCCGCCTTGCATTTCTTTTAAAAATTCCATTACATATAACCTAAAACCTTGAAAACATTAACTTAATCTATATTTCAACCTCAAAGTATTTAAAAATATTAAACCTAATTTCTTAATTTAACAATCGTATTGACAAAAATAAATTACTACATTTTATTATTTTTAATGGCTAGGCTTATTTATAAATCATTCATTCATTTATTACATTTGGAGCAAAAAATTACAAAAAAAAAAAAGATTAAAAAAAAAAAAGTGAACGAGTACAGTTAATTAAAAAAAAATTTCTTAGTTAAATACAGCAATTATTATATATTTTTATATTATTATGAAAATAATATATTAAATATTTTTAAAATTTTATAAAAATTAATTTATGAAATTTTAGTATATGCATTTTCCAAATTACATTATAATTACTTGTCAAATCTTGTTTTTCAAAACTCTGATTTTTTTTTTAACCGGTCAAACATGACCAGCAAGAATTCATTTTGGAAGGTCAAAATAGCAATTTTAGTCATTTTGGGTGGTCGTTGACTTGCCGTTATTTTCCACGCTGTGTATGTGTGTGTGTGTGTGTGTGTGTGTGTGTGTGTGTGTGTGTGTGTGTGTGTGTGTGTGTGTGTGTGTGTGTGTAGGTTAAGTTAATGTATTCTACAAATAGAGTGCTCAATTTTCTTAAAAAATAATAAATTAGTAAAAACTAAACATTTTCTACAGTCAGCTTTACCTCCAGCAAGTTTTGAGTTTTTTTAAATAAAACTCGATACGTTCAAAAATCAGTATAAGAATTTCATTAACTAACATATTTAAAAAACTGTAAAAAAAACAACAACAAAGAACTAAGGAGCTTTAGTATTTCTTAAAAAACTACATAAATTTTTTTAAATAAAAATTCTTTAAAAATAAAATATACTTTTTAATAAACAATATTTTTATAGTTGAGTTTTTAATAGAGATGCACTGAATCTTCGGCTGATGCCAGGGTCAGTTTTAATTAAATCAATAGCATCAGCAAGTTCTTTTAGGTAATTAAAAGTACAGCTACAGTTATATTAACCAGAGCTTGATTTTTTTTTAACACCGTCACGATTAGTTTTTTCTTTAAAATAATATTTTGGGGATTTTTTTTTTTTTCTTTGTTTTTTTTTTTTTTTTTTACTAATTTATCTAGTTTATCTAGCTACAGTAACAATATCTGTTTTAAAACAGTGCAAGTGAGAAAGAAAGTTTTTTACGATTTAAATCGTATACTTTAAATAGTTAACTATTTTTGGTAAAAAATAGTTAACTATTTAAAGTATACGATTAAAAATAATTTTAAAATCAGAAGTATACTTAAAAATAATTTTAAAATCAGAATCAATCTATTGCAAACAATAAACCAGTGATTACTCCAAACGTTAAACCAAAAATTAAATTTAAAAAAATTTAAAATTAAAATTAAAAATTAAAAAAAAAATTTTTTTACTATATAATTTACTATATAATTAATTAATAATTTTTTTCTTTCACATTTTATTGCAAAACAGTTTGAATGAAAAAATTGAATGAAAGCAAAAACCATTGAAATAAAAAAATTTTGAAATTTTAATAGTACGCCAGATTAAAAAACAATAAATTATAAAAAATGTGGTATTGTTTTTTTGCTTTGATCTTAGATGTTTGGTTCTATAGATTATAGACTTGTACAGTCTATTAACATGAGTTAGCACAAATGTACAGATATATTTTTTTTTATTTAACATTTTCTTTTCCAACAAGGCTGCAAGCATCCACTATTAGAATTGAAAGTAACTGGAAGAGAAAAGATGAAGTTTATAGAGTAAGATAACCATTAACAGAAAACTTAAAAGATTGCGAATTATATGAATCAGGAAAACAAGATGTAGGAATCAAATTCAAGGAAAAAATTAGATGAATAAGAATTTTTTGAGAACTTAGAAACAGTCACAGTAAAAGGATGAGGCTTAATTCAATGATGAGTAACATAAGAATTAATTTTAGTAGATGGCACAGGAGGCACTAGCTCTTTAGAGCAGTGCCAATTATAGTATTTATAGAAAAGAGAAAAAGAAGCAACATTATGACAATGTGATAATGGTTGGAGGTAAGCTGATCGAGCAGGTCCAACTATGTTTACGATGTATTTTTGCACCTTGTCTAAAAGAGAAAGAATATCATTGGAAAACCTGTCCCAGATACGGCAACAGTATTCCATACAAGGACGAATTTGAGATAAACAATAGAACTCTGAGTAAAAAAGTGGTGAGGACAATAAAGAGATGTCACCGTAGCAGATTTTGCAATCGATTTGATATACAGTTTCCAAAATTGAAAGTGATATTCAATCCTAGAAGATGAAGGGTAGATGACTTATCGAGTACATTAGTGTTCATAAATATAAAAAGATCTAGATTAATGTGATAACAATTAGCTGAAATAAAATGAGTTTTATTTGAGTTAAAACTCATAAGCCACTGAGAGCCCCATGATGTTTTAGAAGTGAGATCTTTTTTAAGCTCAAATGACCCCACCAAGCAATCAGAGAGAGTTAGCTTCTTATTACGACAAGAATAAATGGTAGTATCATCAGCAAATGAGGTTACTTAAGATGTAAGAATTTCTGGGAGATTATTAATGTAAATTTAAAAGCCAAGGATAGAACCTTGAGGAACCCCTAAAGTTACAGGATATGAAGAAGAGTGCTGTCCATTGAGGACAACTTTTATACTACAATTCATAAAGAAGGATTCAATAATCTTAAAGATATTACCTGATACACCGTAGGAAAGCTTATGAGTCTAAGCAGTAAATCACTTTAGATACAGAAGCTGGAGTGATACAAATGTCAAGCAATGGATCAATCTGTTTGTCAGCTATATTAGGTAGAACACAACTAGTGGAATCAAGAAATGATATTGATGAAAAGTTCTTAGCAAACAATTTAGCTTTGAATTTAGGTGAGGTGAAAAAATCTGAACCATACTTGAGATTTACCCTTCTTATAGATATGGCTAAAAATTCTCCAATAGCCACAAGAGCCTAATTTTTGAGATGAATTACAAGATTTTGTGACTTAAGAATGAATGGCTTTGGCATTAGATAAAACCTTTTAACAATGGTTTCTAGCAGTAGTGAACATATGTCTGTTTTCTGGTGAATTGTTT